CTGTACAGCACCTTGGAGACTCTCTGGGACAAAGGTACCATCCGAAGCCTGACTCACTGCTCATACACACCGAACTGACAAGAGTTAGTCCCCAGGAAGAAACCAAATACATTGCTGTTCATCTCCTTAAAAGCATTCAAATGGCCTCTTCTCTCAGCTGTGCCTCCAAGAGCATGCCTGGCTGCCCTGAATTTCTGTCAGCCATTGCTGCTACACCGATCCCTAGCCTTCTCCACGGAACCGGTGAACAATCACACGAACAGCATCGGATATGGGTTGATAGGAGCCTACATACTCGTTTACACTGGAATGGGGGTGAGTACACGGGTCTTTCCAATTCGCAATATGTGACGTTCTAACGTTGAACCTCCTACACTAGGTTACGATGGGCCAGTACCAGCACATGACATATCGCACGATTACCATGGTCAGAGGAGGTGTTGTCTCGATGATCTACAACAAAGCAAGCAGGTTAGGTGTCAAAGATGCGGATCCCGCTGCATCCCTCACCCTGATGAGTGCGGATATTGAAAGGATCGTTCAGGGCTGGCAAACAATCCATGACATCTGGGGTAATGCCGCCGAAATAGCCCTGGCAATTTACCTGCTTGAGAGGGAATTGGGTGTCGCTTGTGTGGTTCCTGTAGGAGTTGCTCTTGGTAAGATTTGCATTACTCTCCAGGATTTTCGATGAACCGACTGACAGTGAGCAGTGACCCTTATCGGATGCCTTATCGCACTGTCTTTTGTGATGGCTAGGCAAGCAGTATGGCTTGAAGCCATTGAACGGCGCATTTCATCCACCGCGTCAATGCTTGGCTCAATGAAGGGAATCAAGATGTTGGGTCTCAAGTCTGCGATTATGAAAAGCTTGCACGGTCTGCGGCTGGAAGAACTAGACATTTCGAAAAGATTTCGAAGACTCTTAGTATGGAATATGGCTCTCGGTATGTTGATGTCGTTTTATAGCGTGATTTCCTGATCTCTAACAGTCCCATTAGGTTGGACCACTCGCATCTTCGCTCCTATATTCGCACTCGGAGCTTTCTACGGCATAATGCATAGCAGAGGAAACGATTCTGCGTTTGATATGACCACAGCTTATACATCCTTGTCACTCTTTGCACTACTAGCAGATCCACTACTTTCTCTTGTTATGGCTCTAATGACGTTCGTTGGCTCTATTGGTTCTTTCACCCGTATTCAGGAATTCCTTGAGAAAGACGATCATGTTGATTGCCGGCTTAAGCCTTTACATACCTCTTATGAGAGCTTTGAGCCGAAAGCTTTGGTTCTCGTGGATGATTCGGACGCCACGCTATCTGAAACCGCTTCGGATCGGTCGATCCATCGTGCGAAATCTATGTATCACGATGCACTGACAGTAAGGAATGCAACGTTTGCCTGGGATGTTGAGAAAGAGCCTGTACTAAAGGGCCTAACAATCACGATTGCGAGGGGAAGCTTCACTATGATCATTGGGCCCTCCGGCTGCGGCAAGTCAACGTTGCTGAAGGCTATTCTCGGTGAGGTTCCATGCGTGAATGGGGACATAAGACTATCATCCAACAGCGTTGCATTCTGCGACCAGACGCCGTGGCATATGAATGCAACCATTCGGGAGAGCGTCGTTGCCATGTCAAGTTTTGACAAAGAGTGGTATGCAAGTGTTGTACGCGCTTGCGCTCTTGTCCAAGACTTTGAACAATTACCACGAGGAGACGAAACAGTGATTGGGAGCAAGGGAATTGCTCTGAGTGGAGGGCAAAGCCAACGAATTGTAGGTTCAGCGCCCTCTTATACGAAGTCTCGCTAATATGTCAAATGATCGTAGGCCCTTGCAAGAGCTGTATATGCGAGAAAAGATATTGTCATCCTCGATGATGCGTTCAGCGGCTTGGATGCCTCAACAGAGGACTACGTCTTCCACAGCCTCGTTGGCATTCATGGCTTACTACGCAAAATTAACTCGACGGTCATCGTTGCATCATCGTCAGGTGTGTCCACCTAGTTTATCTATCAATTTTCGTGTCCATACTGATCAGATACGAATGACTACAGCCAAAAGACTACCTTACGCCGATCAGATTGTGGTGCTGGACAAATTGGGCCATGTGTCAGAGCAAGGAAGCTTCAAGGCACTCGATACTGCTGGCGGATATGTCTCAAGCTTCGGACTGGGCTCGCCTGAATGGAAGTCCAAAATCGACAAGCCTTCTGTAACCGACCTTGCTCGGCCGAAGACTTTGGAACCCAGCAAGACAGAGGCAATCAAAGAAGACCCACGAAGGCAGAGCGGCGACTTGTCGATCTACTTGTACTACATTCGATCAATTGGCTGGCTGCCAACGGTGATCTTCCTAGTGGCTATCTCAGGATTTGTGTTTTGCATATCTTTTCCAAGTACGGTGTCTCTAACTTTGTTTTAGCGTCTCATGCTAACCGATATGACAGGCATCTGGGTCAAATGGTGGGCGATCTCAAACGAGGAAGACCCCAATGGCCGTACCGGGTATTATCTCGGAATCTACGCAATGCTCGGCGCTGTCGGCATGCTTTCTCTGATCATCGGTTGCTGGTGAGAATCTAACTCCCCACACACGAGCGAGAAACTAACATGCGTTGTAGGGAGATGGTGATCAACATGGTACCCAAATCTGGAGAAAGCTTTCATAGAAGATTGCTAGCAACGGTTCTGAGGTGCGTCATGATTCTTCATGTTCCATAGAGGTTGCTAATCCTTGATAGCGCGCCCATGTCGTTCTTTGCGGCTACGGATAGTGGCTCTATACTCAATCGGTTTAGCCAGGACTTACAGCTCATTGATATGGAGCTCCCAGTGGCAGCCATCAACACGTTTGCCAGTAAGTGCGCCACGCTGTTGTAAGGTTGGCAGGCTACTCACCATACATTCTCTAGCTTTGGTTCTTTGTCTTGCGCAGATGATCTTGATGGGCATTGCTTCTAGATATGCAGCTATTTCGTTTCCGTTGGTGATTCTCACCGTATATTCAATCCAAAAGGTATACCTGCGGACTTCGCGACAGCTGCGGTTCTTGGACCTTGAAGCCAAGGCACCTTTATACTCTCACTTCAGCGACTGCCTCAACGGCCTGGTGACTTTGAGAGCTTTTGGCTGGCAGCGAGCCCTGGAGGACAAGAATCTTCAGCTGCTTGACTATTCGCAGAGACCATTCTATCTCTTGTACGCTATTCAGCGTTGGCTGACCCTGACGCTGGACATGGTCGTAGCGGCAATCGCCGTCATACTGATTGTCCTCGTGGTGACATTACGAGGGACAATTAGCGCAGGTGACGTTGGCGTCGCGTTGTTGAACGTGATATTGTTCAGCCAGAGCATCAAGCTGCTCGTGACATTCTGGACAAATCTTGAGACGCATATTGGCTCCATCGTGCGTATCCGCTCTTTTACCGAGACCGTCAGCTCAGAGGACATGCCGACTGAGAAGGACGACGTGCCTCCCAACTGGCCTTGGGGAGGGGACATCGAATTCAAATCCGTGTCTGCAGAATACAGGTATGCGGATTGCCTTCAAGCTATAGATACTCACTAACGCTATATGAAGACCTTCGGAGCCAGTCCTGCGTGATGTGTCTTTGACAATAAAATCAGGAGAAAAAGTCGGGATATGCGGTAGGACAGGCAGGTAAGTCCAGTCTAATCCCTAATCAGACCGAGTCAATATCTAATTACGCCACTCCAGCGGCAAAACCTCACTGATCATGAGTCTCTTCCGAATGGTCGAGCTCAGCTCCGGAAGTATCCATATCGACGGCGTCGACATCACCAAGATCCCCCGTCAAGAAATCCGCTCACGCATCAACGGCGTATCTCAAAGTCCGCTCCTGATCAAAGGCACCATCAGACGCAACATGGACCCCGAAGGCTCCCACTCCGAGAAAGCCATAATCGAGGCCTTAAAGGTTGTAGGGCTCTACACCAAGATCCAGGAGAAAGGCGGACTAGACACCGACATCAGCGAGGTCTTCCTCTCGCAAGGCCAACAGCAGCTCTTCTGTCTCGCGCGAGCAATCCTCCGGCCGGGGAAGGTCCTCGTCCTAGACGAAGCTACAAGCAAGTACGTCACGACCTCATCTCTTCCGCCTTACTCAAGATAGCATACTGATCATATCACTACAGCGTCGACGCAAAGACAGACGAAATCATGCAAAGAGTCATCAGAGAGAAATTCAGCACGCACACCATCCTCGCCGTTGCCCACAAACTCGAGACAATCCTCGACTACGACAAGGTCGTTGTCCTTGACGCAGGCCGCGTCGTGGAATCCGGTGATCCATGTACCCTTCTCTCCACGGAGAGCTCCTACTTCAGCAGACTATATGCGAGCTCAATGGCGGAGGAGCAGCAGTAGATTACTGCGTTGGCTGAGCCAGAGAGCACGATGCGGGATTCTAGGGTTTTCGATGCTAAGTAAGGAGTACGGTTGGGAATAGTATGGCATACATGCATTAGTGAATATAATAATAATTAGTCCGAACGTCAATGGCTTTCGGGAAACAGTAGGAAATGCAAGCAGAGACAAATGGTCTCAGCACATCAGTCTCGTCAATCAAATCAAGTAGACAGGCCAACACTAATCCCTCGCTGATGTTTTCTACAATCACGGCAAGTACGTAGCTGTTCACAACCAAAGACGCAAGTCATCAAGATAAAAATGCAAGCTGCAAGTATTTATTCCCACTTCCGACCATGAGATGACTATAACTATGACTACCCAGTACAGTACTAACATTCAGTAACAGAAAACGAGGAGGTAGATGAGAAGAGGTAGAGAAAAACATTATCCGTCCTATTTGCACCACATGTTGCAATTGCGATCAATCCAGGTCAGATCCAGTAAATAACAAGTCATGAAGCCCCTTGTCTTTTATCCGTGATACAGAAAGTTGGATCTCAAGCTCGAAGTGCGAAGCCCGAGTCCTAACTCCGAGGAACAAAGATTGTCCAAGTCGCGCATCTAGGCAAGGAGCATTGTATCATCATTATCTGCTTCCGGCGCGTCAAGAAGCCCAAATTCCCAATCTCCTCTTTCGATTCTGCTGACACGGTCAAGCTCGGACTGGTACTCGCGACGGAGGTGGTCGAGAGTCACTATGACTCGTCGGTGGCGGTGGTTGTTGACACCCGGACCGGAGGCTGAGGACTTGCTATCCTTGCGAGTATGAGGCTTTATAGCGCTTGTGCTGGAGCTGATACTGCGTCTAGATCCAGTGGGTGTAAGAGAACTGGCATCTGCATCGTCCATGAAGACATTGCCGTCATCGTCCGCTTGAACGCTGCGGCGCCGGACCACAGATGTTGAGTCTTCCTTCTCGACGAGGATGTAGGCTTCGCTCTTGTCAACGCAGCCAAGTAGGTTGATCAGAGAAAGGAGCTCGTTGCGGATTTCCTTGCTCTCCGGGTCGTCCTCCTCAACCGTCTGCCGCGCGTCATCAGTGTCTCTGCCCTTGGCCAGAACCAGATGATTCGACGGGCTATCTCTAGCATGTCTTAGACGTTGGACATTTCGATACGCGATTTCGGCGGCTCCACGATAATCATTACGCGCAACACGGTACGCTTGCAAGATCCGCTGATAATCTGGCGTGGTGTCGGCCCACTTGGTTCCAGTTTCCAATAGAGAATTGAAGGACGTTTGTTTCCGGGCAAGGGAGACAAGTGTGTCATCCACGTGAGTAGCGATATTTGGGAGGAGAGATGTGGGAAAGTGTAGAATCTGCTGAAGTCCAGACAGGCCTGGCCCAGATGCATTCAATATGGCGGTGATGAGAGAGGAGAGGGCGGACCGCTGCAGCGCATGATCTTCGTATCGAGACATTGCTGAATAGGCTTGGTCAAACTGGCAGGTCTTCAAGGATGCATAGAACAGACGCGAGAGCAGGTCGGTGCGCATGTTAATCCGCTCCGGGTCCTTTTCATTCCTATTCTCACTTGCGAGCGCTTGCAGTGCAAGGCTGGCAAAGTCTGCCACGTGTGAAAAGGAACGTGCCTGTTCAAATATGGAAAGGATATGTTGGAAGTATTTGGGGAGACCATTGTGGAAGCAGTCTACCGAGACGATGTCCAGTAGCGTTGATGACATCTCATGCAAGTTTCCCAGAGGTTTACCACATGCTGTAATACGTTAGAGACGGTTGGAATCGGCCTGCATGGTGAAGTATAACTTACAGAGGAGGTATGCAGCCTTACGGAAGTACAGAGCCGCAGTGTCGAATTCGGACATCGCCACATATAAACGACCCTTCACATAGGTTGCCCATGATGTGGTTGCTTGGAAGCGTAGGAAATCCCAGGCAAGGTCAATGTTGTTCTTCGCAATGAGATCGCACTGAATGTAAACCAACGCATTCGGGTAGGCCACCTCCCCTTGGCGAGTAACCCAGGAAAGAACATCTCGAATACCGAGAGTCAGCGTGTAGCTCTGGGGTAAGCCAATGGCTTGGCGAGGTTTAATATCAGTGGCGAACAGATCCTCCAATATAGTCACCACTCGCTCCCCATTGCCCTTGGGTGTGGAGTCTTTCAGGGAGAACGTTGAGTTCGACGTGTCGCTAATGACGCTCGGAGACTTGTCGACACACTTTCGGACATTCGAACTGAGCCAGGACATCATCTCGTATTCCCTTAAGAGAGAGATGAGCGTAGCAAAGAGATCACCGGCATCGAAAGTCGACCCATCCTCCTGCTGGACCTCTCCGTCCACAAAGACCACGAGCAGTAAAAGGTCGATGAGAAGCTGCCGTGTGTTCTCGATGGTCTCCTGGGCGCCGTTGACGGTTACTTTCACCCCGAAACGAGTGGGAAGGAGTTCGGAATCTTTGCCAGGGAAACCGAGAGGGATCGTGTCAATGATGGTGTAGAAGACATCATTCGACAAGTTGTAAATATTCAGACGCTCATTCATTGCAGCAAGCAGGCCGTCGTAAGTTTTATTGGAAATCTGCTCGGTAAAGTCGCACCGCTCACGGAACGCATCCATCCGGTCTGGGATGGACGATGAAGGCTCCGCATAGACTTCTGCCTCAAGGGCACAGTGGCACGCTGCTTCGAGTTCAGGGGGGAACCGTTTCCTGAAACCGGAAGCAACCCTCAACAAGAAGGATGCTTGTTCGAACAAATCGCCGATCTCTGAGCCCAGGTTCCTGTGGCTCCACCGATCGGCTATCTTGGGCCCTTCTGTTCGAAGCTCGGAGTCTGAATTATGCAGGAGCAACTCGGTAGGGCTACATTCGCGAATGACTGCACAGCTATCTGAAAAAAGCATCCACGGAACTTCGTTGTAGGCATCATACGCGAGGCGAATCGCTGCGAATCTTCGCTTGTTGATGTCCTCCGCGATCTGCCAGAATTGGCGCCATTTGGAGTCTGTGTCTGCCCGGTATCTTGTAAAATCCATATCGTCCTCCGCATACTTACGAAGGGAAACTGTGGCGGCGACCGTCGAACAGAGTCGTTCTTGAAGAGGGGCGCTTTTCTTCGGTGCAGTAGGAAAGGACAGGGGCCGAAGTGCTTCCTGATAAACAGACAAAGCAGTCTCAAGTACCTCCGGCGAGTATCGGTTCGGCTTTAGGAGAAAGCTCAACCACTTCTCTGTCGGGTCCAGAGCATCCTCTGATGTAACAGCTGGTAATGATGCGTGTGTCCGCGTGTCCATGGCCGTAGACACCCAATTCGTCGCCCAATCCGTCACCAGAGTCTCGAAGCTGAAATGCAGTGTATACAGCTGGTACACGCTGTTATTTCTCCACAGCACCCACAGCTCCATACGCTTCCCTTCCTCCATGGGCTTGATCTGGAAATCAGCGATACTCCAAAACATGCTCCCTGTAGAGTCCGGATCCAATGGCGTCAGTGCAGCGTCAGGAAAGAGGTCCTCGACGACCAGCTGCGACGTCAGGCCTCCTTTGACAGCCCAGAATTTGAAGCGCCCATCCTCGAAGGGCGAATAGGTGACTATGTAGTAACGATAACCGCCATCCAGCGCTCTCTCCACATTAAACACACGAATGAACGATGATTCGGCGGGGTTTAACGAGTATGCTGCTGATTCCTGCTGTTGTACTGGTCGGTCCAAGAGATCCTTCGTGGCGGCTAGTCTGTTCGTAGCGAGGTTCCATATCTTCAGAGTGTGGTTCAAACAAACTGCGAATGCATAAGTTTGATCGGATGTAGTAGCGATCGCATTGGCCGCGTTTACATCGAGGTTACGTCCCTGGTACTTGATAGTGGGTTGCGCATGCCATCGGACGAGACCGCGTATCGACGCCCCCCAGGTTCTCTCATCAAATGTCAAAGGAGCCCAATGCGAACCTTGGAAAGCACAAAGATGTTAGTATAACGCTACCCGCATCGGGGAGAAGGCATCTGGAGGGAAAGTACCATCATCACCAGCCCTCCTAGTCAGGCGCAGCAGCGCGCCGCTATCAAGGGAAATAAACAACTCGAGCGGACTGCTTGCATGTAACCGATGGGGATGAGAAAAAGCCAGAGGTGCCGGGGTGCAGGATTTGCACCACTCAGACACATTCTCATCAATTGCGGCTAGTCGTCGAAAGTACTCCGGGCGCAGAGTCAACGTGTGTAGCTGCTTGGAAGCCGTGATCACAAACACACTCAACATGTCATGATCCTCCAAGTCAGCGATATCAACCCCGGATGGAAGGATCTCTTCCTGGAAGTCGAAGCGTAATGTGATATCGTATTCGTGATGCTCAATTCCTCCCTTTGTCAAATCCACGCACTGAATCTCCAGGACCTTGTTGTCGTTAACCACCCGCCAGAGAAAGGTTCGAGGATACACTTTGTGTTTCCGGAAGTAGATTGACCCCTGTGTAGCTAGGTATCGGCGAGAAAACTCCTCCTCGTCCTTCGCTGCTGGTTCTTCAGGGCTCGCGAAGGATGAGGCTATCGAAAATCGGGCGCGGTTCCGCGAGCTCTCTTGGTTTGGAATCTGGATGTTGGCGACGGTGCTCGGCGAGTACGGCCGAAGGTCGACTCTTGTGTCTTTGTAAATTTTCGCCATGGCGGATTGACACTAGACCACCTTCCACGGATATGTAAATGGTGATCTCAAGCCTCCATGGCCAATTGTCGAGGTAGGTGAAAATAAGATGTGTTGCGGTTTGGCGGAGTTGGAAGGCGGAAGCTGAAGCTCTTTTGCTACTCAAAAAAAAAGGTCTTGGCGCGGGTTCCAGCAACGCGGTGTTAATGCTGATCACCAACGACAATAAACGATCAGAACGAACATTTTGACTCAAAATAGTTAACTGTGGATGAATCTTTTCCTTCAAGCTAAATCACAAAGGAAATCTACCTATTTCTTACGCGGGCAATCTTTCAGCGGCATCAGTGTCAAACATTGGAACATGCACAATCGCTTAAGACTCTCTGATATACATTGCACGCTAGAAAACAAGAATAAAAATATATGTACTCTAGGAAATGCAAAGAATCGTCATGGCATCTTGGAAGTCGTGGAAAGGTCCCGATAAATGCAACTAATCATTCTCCAGATCCTTGGGGCTTGGATCTCCTATTCCATCCTCGTTGATGGCGAAGAGACAGTCACTCTCTGGTAGACATGGACTGTCATAGATCTTGCAAACTCTGGTCTCACCCCTACCCTTCTTCAAGCTCAATCTGGTCGTACTGGCATGCGCAATGATGTTCCCACCAATGGGCTTCTTCGGGTCGGGATTGAACATCGCACTTGGACCACCGTCAACCTGAGCGACTACTTGGTTTGTAATGACGACGGCAATTCCAAATTCATCCGCCAGTCGCTGCAGGGTCCGCATGAACTTGGCGAGATGTGTCTGTCGAGACGAGAGCTCACCACGACCGTTGAAATCCGTCCGGTACAATGAAGTGGCGGAGTCCACAACAAGAAGTGAGAAACGCGTCTCACACATCATTTGAGATGCCTGGTTGAGTAGTTGGAGCTGATGATCTGAATTGTAGGCTCGAGCATAGGCGACGTTGTCCAGAACCTCTTCTCCTACCAGTCCATAACGCTGGGCCACCGCTAATAGACGCACCGGACGGAAAGTCCCCTCGGTGTCAATATAGAGACACTTGCCCTCGCCCCCACCCATATCAAACGGCAGTTGACAGGTGACGGCAAGCGTATGGCAAATTTGACTCTTTCCTGTCCGGAACTCCCCGAATATCTCGGTGATCGACCCCGTTTCGATGCCTCCTCCCAATAGTGTATCTAGCTGCTTGGACCCTGTCGTGATCGATATAAGCTCACTTCGTCGGGCGTGCATCTCTGTGGCGGTTGTGAAGCCCATTGGTACGAGTTTGGCGGCTATAAAGTAACAGTCAGACAGATGCGATGTTCAGGGGACTGGGTTGGCCCACCCTCGACTAAGATTTTGGTCGCTTTCTGCTCTGAAATTCCCTTAATCTGTTCCAGCAATCGCTTCGGCCTGGATGATTGAAAGTGTGAGTAGTTTTCTGTGAATCACGCCGGGCTGAAGTACGCATAGGAAGACCTACGTATATGCGATTGACTCGACTGTGTGGTAGCCCGCATCAACAAAGAGCTTGATATCTCTACTGGTCAAACCTGCAACTCCCTATACCGACTGCATCAGCAATTCTCCTAGTATATTGACGTAAAGACACATGGTGTCGTAGTATTCCTCCCACTCCTCGATTACTCACCTCCAGAGCTGAGAGCGGAGTGGGTGCGCCTGGCCCTGGCAATCCACTGTCATCATACTCATTTTGGGTCTCCATATCAGCCGTCATTATGTCGACTGAGAAAGTAAATCAAGCTGTGTAGGCGCTCTTAGGACTTCGAAGGACCCGACAAAGAAGTGGTCTTGACGCGAGGACGCGTTTTTCAGTCAATCCGTAGCTTTCTGCGTTAATTCACGGAGTAGACAGCTTGAAGACTAGAGATTCAGAGGCGCTGCCACAGATTATTCGACAATATGACTCAACAGCAGTAGTTTCAGCTCATTAATGTGGCAAATTGCCCGGTCGTCGCTCAACTAAACAACCGGAAAGATCGCGGACGCGTCCTGACCGTCACGAGGTCACGTGCCGTGTCAGCCTAGATGGCTGCCTGAGCTGGGGTAACCCCAACGATCAAATCCAACAACAGCGATAATAGAGGTTGCAAATGCCAAATTTCGATACACTATTAAACGACACCCTTAGTGGGGTGCTACGGGCGATGCCTAGATCTTATTGCTACCATCTCACTGAAATGTCACTCGGGATATGAGATCATTAGAGGAGCGAAGAGCATAATCCTGACTCAAGGAATATTCAAGCTTGTACTATATAAGATACAATCGTCTCAGCCTGGTATGTATGAGTGAGCGGAGGTATCATATACAAATGCGAGTTAGGTTCATCCGAAAGAACCGAGGACGGGTCGCTTTGAATATATCTCCGGATAATCGAGAAGCTACATCACGCAACTGCTTCGGAATGTGCGTAATTGTTCTCGTGACGCAGAAAAAAAAATATCATGGTTGTGAGTAGCCGGAAGCAATCCCTACTTGTGTCGATGCAGGCCATCTCGCGGTAGAGGCTTCAGCTGGAATTCCTCTTTCGGACGAGTTTGGATATTTTCCTCGATCAACCTGCTGATCCTGCGCCTGAAATCTTCCGACGATTGTCCTCGACGGTGCCCTAAAGCTAGACATGATATGTTAGCATCTTGAGAGGCACAGCAGCCATATCATTTTCTTCAACGCACTCACCATCAGCGACGGACTTCCGCTTGGTCTTCTCAGGGGACTTTGTCAGCCATGAGCTATGTGGGCCGAAGAATCCTCGCGATGATCGTCTGTCTGATCCGACCGAGATTTGGGACTCCTGAGGTGTAACAATGACTGAATGGATGAGCTGATTTTCAGGAAGTCTCTCGGAATCACCGCTGTTGGACTTGCTGCTATCCGCAATCTCTTTTTTGAACGGCGCCACAAATCGTCGAGAGTCACCACCCGCTGCCTTCAGAGCAGACTGTTCCTTGTGCCAGCGGGATTGTACATCGCTTGCCGTGTCAGCAGCCGAGGATTTTTGTGTTTGCTTTACGACTGGCGTCGTCGGCCTGCTTGCGTTTGGGGTTGCGAGCTGCGCTGGACTTGATGTGTTGCTGGTAGAGATCCATATACCATCTACCTGGACACCCTTCTCAAGTGCTCGTGCGCCAAATGGTATGTCGCTGCCTCCAGTCGACACCGGACGTAGCTCGGTGCCCCGCTCTATTCTCTGATACGCTTCAGCGGCGGCATGTTTTCTGGTCATTCGTCGGTTATACGCAAGGACGCAGAAAGCGTAGACGAGGACGATCGCCTATGAGATGGTCAGTGCCGTTTTTGTGAGCATGGGGAAAGTCGATCCTACCAGGAGAACTGCAAGAACCTGTCCCATTTGCCATCAGGTTCAGTCACTTTATATCATTGATCTCATCGGACTTACCATGCTCAGTTTCTGCCAGAGAGCCCAATCGACCCAGAACCGCATCGTGTATGCTTTGCTGGCTTCTCGCCAGAGAGACCTCTAGGTGTCGAGCGTACAGGCAGGACGGCTGCAGTGAGGCAACGATGACCGGTACTCAATTCGATATTTGACGGCGCAGATTATAGGGATATGAGGTCGCATGGATACGGCAAGGGACTTGGGAGAGGTGTCTCAGCCTGCTGGGATGGTGTAGGGCAGGAGAGACATAGCCCTGTATTGGTAGCTACGAGAGATGGAAGGAGCGCCGTTTGCCAGGGAGCGTTCTCTGTTTGCTGCAGTGGCTTTTGACGTAAAACATAATGTCCAGCCTACATATGATTAAATCCACAGATTTGTGGACGCAAGAGGTAACATCGTAAGATAAAGGCAGCGCCATAGCATATCATAACTGCGGATCTTTCAACGCTCATACCGGCTACAACACCCTATCAGCAATCATTCTTTATATTATGACTATCAAGATATTAAGTAATTAATCTTGTTCGGTCGCTTGAAGTACGTGATTGAGAATGTATTAAAAAAAATAAATAGAATGTGGTTGGAGAATGATGATGGGATAAAAAGAAAAAAAGAAAACAAAAAGAAGAGATTGCGGTTGTCCAGCCAAACAGCCAATTTCCCTGTAACGGGTAGGTGTCCTCCGGCGACGCCATCCCAGGGTGGAAGTGTCTCTGCAGAATTGCTTCCCTCAAGTATCACTTCCATTGCTTAGCGCCTTGTAGCATCGTGGATTACTCGCACGAGTACAACGACGACCCCAGGATTCGTACCGGGCACCTTTCCCGCTGGCAAATGCCGCAGCAAGGTTACTGACTTAGCGGCGGGCCTTCCACTAGGTTATCCGTGACAGATTAGAAAAATAAATCTCAACAGAAAAATATCTCCCTTACGCTGAATCATCCTCTTGGCCACAACAATCCCGTCTTCGATGATAATCAATCGATTCACCCGGATTAAACTATCAATCTCTTCTCGATCTGTGCGTTTGTTCCGGCCTCTCATGTAATTAAATAACACTGTGTTCCTTGTACCGTGCCCTTTCGCTTCGCATCCCAGATTACCAACGACAATGGTCCCTATTGAAGAGGCCCTGACGCAGCACAATATATATTGGCTGCATTGTACTGAGCTCGTCATCCATGCCCACACCACTTCCAAAGTGTCCAGAATTCTGCACGACAGTTACCCGAGCAGCAATCACTACCCTCGAGGCAATAGCTGTGGTAACCAGCGCACTCGGTACCCTGATGCGTGAGACATTTGCCGTGCACACATGTATGACCTAGGAAGCAGTCGAATGAACGTTTGCAACCCATCGTGCATCTCAGCAGGTGGCCGTCGCAAATATGCCCATAGTCACAATCCGCGCTGGTCTCACACTTAGGTCTGTCCACCATCTCGGGAGGCCGATGCCCGTCTTCACCAGGGCCCGTGAGGCGTTGTATCTTGGATTTAGGATCGACCGCGTGAACAACATCCAGCAGCAGGATAGCAGAGGCGACGCAGATAAATTGAGGAATGAATGCCATGGTGGACATTATTTTGCAGAGTCACTACACAGATTCCCAGATCAGTACCATAATAGAGACGGGCCACCAGACTGAAACCACCAAAGGAGTGATGTTTGACTCACAACATAGGTATCTCAATTCAAAAAGCCGAAATGCCAGATCCCTCACAAGTCCAACCCCAAGCACTCTGACTCTATATAGAGAGTTGGTATTAAGTGCCTGCGCCGAGGGTCTCCCCCTACTCATAATGTGCTCATGTCCAGATTGGGCAGTTACCCAACTCACCGTGGATCACTCCATAGTGACTGCCAATATCCTAAACCACCACATGAACGCCGGCTGTTCGTGGCAGTTACTCTAGTGTCCGGGGAAGCTTGTCCATAGGCTTCCTTTTCCGCAGGCCTTCTAGATACACATTGTCCATACAACGTATATTCATACTCCGCCATAGCCGGCTGTTCTACTACCGAATACCAATAGTTCTATGCGCCCGCAGGGAGATATGTATATATGAATACACAATCAGACGCATGAGAAAGCTGCATGCTTGCGGGTCTGCAATCGTGCTTACGGGAGTATCTATATACTCTTACCCTTACTTGAATATTCTGGATGCTCGACTCGACCAGCCTGAGATAGGGTCACACTCCAGCCGAGATCCCAAATAAGAGGACATTGCATCCTGGAGAAGAGGGCTACTTACGGTGACTGGAATCCGGGTTACCACTATTTCTCGGAGCCAATGACAGTAAAGTTGCGGGCGACAGGGTGGAGAAATTTACCTGTTGGCGAGTAGAGTGCATGGAGAATTCTATAACAAGAACCTGGAGTAATAAAAGATCAGAAACGATGGCAGGCGTCTCGCGCGAACTGAAATCGATGAAAAGCCGATAATAACATCATGATAGTATCACACGTGCAGTACAAAAAGCATCAAAGCTACTACTAGTTACTACCTTACGTACTACGTACTTACTCGTGGGACATTTATGCATAAACCATACGGGTGTAATTTCCCTCCATTAGGTGTCCTGGAGCTGCGCGAGACAGTACGCAACCGAGGTACCTGAGTACCTACCTATGTGTTGACGCAATTGCCACCTATAATCTTGGATGGTTATTTGATTTGGGGACTTTCTTGATGAAGGCACGAGGCGGGCATAAACTAGGTACTGTCTACTTCCGCGGATCCTTACAGTTCAGTGTATCCATGTCCCGTACTCTTTCCCTGGCTCCACTTTCGTTCCTTCCACTAAAGTCCCTACAATCAATGCTGGTTCCTGTGAAAAATGCGCCATTTAGCCTTTCAGAGTGGGAACCATCCACTCCAATTGCAAGCGCAAACTGTGAAGACGTGGGGTGTCTAAAATAATACATCACTGGGAGGGATAAAGAATCCCCTCCCTTGTCTTCACTGAGAAACAAGAAAAAAAGGTTTTCTGGGGTTGCCGATGCCTTGACGTATACGGCTGGGCTAGCAGCAAATTACCGGCCGATTTAACTACAACTAGTTGAGGGAACGCAATGACTCGAGCCTTACTTCTGGTTAATGTGTTGCCGCTAAGATCGTCATCCAAGAAAGACATCCATAAATTGTACCAACGGGACCGCATTGCCGCCGATCATGTGAGATTGGGGGGTGTTGCACGGTTCCTGTCCGTTAATCAATCAGATTCCCTTGCAGTTGCACATTTACACTCCTAATATATCCGGGACTGACTCGTCTTAAGAGCCCTACACTTGGCTACTTTCTGCGATTTTGAATTAGAAATTTTCTTACAGCATGGCTCCGTTTCGTAACTTCCTGAGCAGGAGGTCGGCGGCCCCCAATGGTGGGGAGATTGAGAACATCCACGAAGACAACCGGGTGTCGACAGAGAGCCATCCCTCCAATCCGTTGAGTATCAGAAAAAGCTACGAAAAAGAACCCCCAGAATATAAATTGAGCGGTATGCTTTGATACTCGCAACAATCCCTAGCGCCCTATGAAAGTCGAGGTTTCTGATCCTTTAATCTACAGTTGTCGACGATAACGGTGCTTATCTGCCGGTATTTGCATCCCAGTTGTCGTGAAGTCCAGGATCCCACAGCTAAGGATTGTCAATCGCAGCCTTCACCTCCAGAGAAGCAGAGCTTTTGGAAGAAATATCCCGGCTCGAACCGATCGTCAAATCATCGAAATCTCGTTGACGATAATGAACCCTTTTCCATATCCCGCGAATCATTCGATTCGTACCGGCGGTCATTTGTGAGTTGGCAGGTCTCTTCATTTACCCGGAGCGTATGTCTGCTGACTCCGGGTGTTCTAGGATATTTCCGCTCGCTCCCCAGTGAGCTACACCGACACGATGCCCTCTCGAACTTCACTAGACTCACGATTCTCCCGTATGACATCGCAGTCCACCTCGCACACGAACGGGTTCTCGAAGCCCGAGGCTATGGAAGAAGAGAAGTTCGAGGACGTGGGACTTGACGACGATGAGGCCAAACCCAAAAAGAAAGGCATCTTCGCTCGATTTAGCGACTTTTCTGGCGAGTCGCAGACATCCGGAAACACAAAACCTGCATCGCAACACCTCGGATTTCACATCCCAGGCAGGAAAAAGGGATCCACCACTCTGGAATCCGAGTTAGGTACGATCAGGCCACCTGTGGGTGCAGGAGCCGAGACCGCCTGAGGTGTGTCATGCAACTCATTTATGGATAATTAATTGGGAATTGAGTTGATTTTAGGCGTCGGGGGGAATGGATTCCTTGGTGTTCGACTGCTTTGTGAAAGCCAGGATTTGGAACCGGGCGCATTTTGTTCTCTGTTTAGCTATTTCACATGTGCTGTATGCGGTATAGCCTTTTGTATTATTCAAGAGATTTCTGGCATAACCTCATGTCAATGCCTCGGAATTTAATTGTACATGACATATACAACAGCATCCATATACTCTCTATGTCCTCGTATCAAATGTTGTATCAAAGGTTTCTATCAAGGCCGATCCTTATCGGCGGGGAAACAAACAATGCAAACACCAACCGACCGCCCTCTAGACTCAAAAAAAAGTGAACCGACTTTTCTCCGGCAGAAACAGCGTCAAGAAAATTTATCTAGCCAGCGGTACGGGGCATAGCAAAGCAATCCTTCCAACACCTTCAATTCATTTGATATATAGTCGCCAACACCGTCTACAAAGTCGACAATATGGTCGGCGTAAAACGTCCCGTCGATGCGGGCGATGAGCGCAATGGGAAGCGAACCAAGACCAAGACAGCGCCCGTGACAACCAAAAAGGCCAAATCCGCGCCAGTGAAGAAGTCTGTCACGCAGAAGAGTTCGAAGAAGGATGTCAAGTCTGGAAAGAAGGACAAGAAGTCTAAGAGGAAGGTAGAGGAGGAAGAGGAGGAGTTTGACGATGACGAGGACGACTTCGATATCGATGATATTCCGGACTCTGAGGCCGATGAGGATGAGGATGAGGATGTCCAGATGGGTAGTGCGAGTGACGATGATGAGGAGGAAGACGTTCAGCAGGAGAAGAAGCAGAAGGTCAAGGCGCCCGCTGCCTCAACGAAAGCAGAGCCCCCGAAGAGTATGGTGACCCTCTGGATTTCTTTCGACCCGAATTGCCTGGCTGACAATACTTTCGTTTGTAGATAGTAATTCCTCTCGCGAAGCACATGCAAAGCAGAAGACCCTTCTACAAGAGCGCAAAGCCGCGAAGCCTAACGCCGACATCATAGCTCGGTCAAAGCAGCTGTGGGAACGTCTGCGTCGCAAGTCTCACGTCCCGCTTGAGGAACGGAAGAAACTCATTGCCGAGCTTTTTGAGATCATCAATGGGAGAGTCAGGGATTTCGTTTTCAAGCACGATTCCGTCCGGGTCATTCAGACGGCTCTGAAGTACGCCAACCTCGATCAGCGGAAGCAGATCGCACAGGAACTCAAGGGTCACTACAACGAGCTGGCGCAGAGCCGCTACGCTAAGTTCCTAGTCGGCAAACTGCTTGTTCATGGTGATACCGAAGTGCGCGACCTGATCATACCGGAGTTTTATGGACACGTTAAGCGGCTCATTCGCCACCCTGAAGGCTCGTGGATTTTGGATGATGTCTACCGGACGGTTGCGACCAAGCAACAAAAGGCGACGCTTCTTCGGGAGTGGTATGGTCCTGAGTTTTCGATATTTAAGGATGAACAGGCATCTGGCGAGCTGTCAGAGATTCTGGAGAAGAACCCCGAGAAGAGATCACCCATTATGCACTTCCTGCACGAGATGATCAACCAGCTGGTGCAGAAGCGGACGACCGGGTTTACGATGCTGCACGATGCCATGCTTCAGTACTTCCTCAACACAAAACCCGGCAGTTCAGAGGCCAACGAGTTCATTGAGCTGCTCAAGGGGGATGAAGAGGGAGACCTTCTGAAGAACCTGGCTTTCACCAAGTCTGGCTCGCGAGTAATGTGTCTGAGCTTGGCCTACTCCAACGCCAAGGATCGGAAGCTGCTCACTCGCGCTTACCGCGATACCATCAAGATGATGGCCGCGGACCTCCACGGCCACATGGTTCTCCTGGCCGCCTACGAAGTCATTGATGACACCAAATTGACGTCGAAGTTGATTTTCCCCGAGCTGCTCAACCAAAGCATGGAAGAGGAGGCGCGCAATGATGAGCTTCTGTATCAGGTTAACGACCTGACGGCGCGGATACCGATTCTCTTTCCCTTTGCCGGAGACCGCGTCAAGTGGCTTGTACCAGAGGCCGACCAGGAAGTGTTGAAGGAGATTCGGGAGATCCGAAAGGAGACCTCGAAGAAGGAGCCTGCTGTTCGTCGCCAGGAGCTGGTCAAGGCGGCATCCCCTACCCTCCTTAATTTCATAGCCGCTCGCGCAGAGTCTCTCCTGGAGACCAGCTTCGGATGCCAATTCATCGCCGAGGTGCTGTTCGACGCTGACGGTGACAAGACCCCCGCCCTATCGGCCGTTGCCGCCGCCGCCAAGGTCAAATCAGACATGAAGGACTCGCCTTTCTTCGGACGACTGCTCAAGTCCCTGGTCCAGGGAGGTCGGTTCAATACCGCGGAGAAGGTAGTGGAGAAGGTGCAGCCGCCTCTGAACTTCCATGCCCTACTGTACGAGCAGATCAAGGACGAGATCATGACCTGGGCCACGGGACCCAATACGTTCGTTGTGGTTGCGCTAACGGAGTCGGACGAGTTTGCTAAGAAGGACGAGCTGTTGAAGACGCTGAAGAAGGGTAAGAAGGCGCTGGAGCAGGCGGCTGCGGAGAGCGGCAAGGATGAGAAGAAGAAGGCTGGACCGACCAGCAGCGGAGCCAAACTGCTACTGGAGAAGATTCGATGAGATGCTCTTTATTTGGCAGGCGGATGTTAAAAAGCATATTGTAATTCTGGTTGAATCGTACATGGGTCTGGCCAATCTGTTTGGATCTGTTTATATCGCCATATATCAAGGGTTTTTGTACAGGGTCTATCATTACTTCTAGGGCCAATCAAAAGCATGATATTCAACTACAGAGTCTTACTCTTACAACGGAGTCGTGCCTCTGTCTCTAGATAGATGTTGCCAGCCGAGTGGCGTCCGGAGAAGTTGACAGTTGACACGTCTAAAACTCGATGCAATTAAGCTTGGATTATCACATGGCAATCAATCAGACAGTCGATTACTTCATTGCAAAGTATACGTAGAGGCTTAATGCTTAATGCTCCAAGAACTCAAGACTCTGACTCAGGATATCTAAGTAGACTAGATAGAGGGGAGTTAGAGCGGAACCAGCGGACACTCATCCATGGGTCCTGGTTCAGGGGTAACATGTTACTAACAGTCAAAGTAAACAAACTAAAACGGCATCTATCTAGAACAATCTAATTTACGATGATCTCTATTTCCTGGACGTTGACCATATCCCATGTCTCTATTATTGTCTTCCTGAGGCAGTATTTATGCTTGCGAGATGCAGCTGCAGCTACAGCATATCTACCCTGAGTAAAGGTCATTATGATTTCAACACCATCATTATGACCCGCAACATATCTACATCTTTGCTCTAAGGAATCCTCTTTCCATGCCCAACTTCAAGCGAAATTGGATTTGAATTTGTCCTGAACGGCCGACGATCTAACAGGCACGGATCCCTGCCTGTTTGGGCCTGGCTGCAAAACGAATGTACTCTCCTAAGGCCTTTTAGGACGATTGCTATCTGTGATACTATCCATCTAACTAACTGGGTACGTACTAGACTTTTTGACCTTTTGACTTCGTTCAGGGTTATCGGAGAAAAAGAAAGACAGCCATGTTGTCTCCCTCCCAATCAGTCACGCCGCCAACATTTCTTTTTTGTCTTGTCTTTCGCGCTTCCTTTTTGCTAACTATTTCCTCTCGTCATTAATTCTTAATCCTAATTCGTAAATTCCGCCTTTCTCTGTCGCCTCGTCGAAGCGGATCAATAATTGTCTCGGAACTGGTTCGCGGCTGCATAGACGGATCAGAATCACGATCCCACGGGCTGCATTACCATCCCTTTTTTATTCATTTCAACCTGCAGGTTTTGGGTTGAAACGCTCGTCTGTCGATCCCAGATGGCCTTATGTTAGATTGAAAGTCTTGACCTGGACTTAAACGCCGACCGCTCTCCAGTTCTACACCGTCCCTGGCGGGAAAATTAACCCCATCACGGATTCAATGCTGGATAGTGCATCCTCTGGGCGCAATGCCCGACAACATCAATATCGACAGTCTCCACCAATCATCCCACCGTCCCCGACGTTATCGAATCCAGATATGATCCTGCCGTTCGACGAAGGCGAGCGCGAGTCCTCCACCCCGTCTCCGCCATTCAACTTGCCCTCCTTTTCCCACCTCCAAGCGTTCTACGAGAATAAACCCCTGCCGAGTTTACCCGGCACCGATAACTCGCATGGCGCGTCGTATGGTCCCCCTGTGCGGCCGCAGAAGAAGAACTTTCCGCGACACACGTGGCTGCAGGATAGTCGCGACGCGAGCCGTCGTCTTTCGGACATCGGGGAGGAAGATACCGGGTTGTCGCTGCGCAAGGGGGAAGGTTCTGGGAATCTGAGTCTGGCGTCGCAAGGTTCCGTACCGAGATTGGCTAGTTCTCCTGTATTATATGGGCGAGGGGAGAAGGAGACGAGGGACCAAAAGGCGTGGAGTAGCTCGTCTGGGTCAACAATCAGCGTCGTGAGCATGAGTGAGCCGCCGCCGCAGGAGGTGACCCAGAACAGCGCGGATGGGTCGGGGGCTTTGGCAAACGAGGAAGTCCAGGGCGTGACGTCGATTGTCAAGGGGAAGGGACCAGATGACGAGTTGTCATCAGCCATCTTGGAAAGTGAAGCGGAGCGCATCCTCGAAAATGCTAAAAAGAAACTCACGGTATGATATATATCCAGCGACGATTATTCTGTACTAACCTGGCTGCAGCTCATGGAAGGGAACCTCTCCCGAGCCCGATCGTCGATCCGGTTGTCGCCCTCGCTATCACCCTCACCATCGCCAGCGCCTGGCACTCACTCATTGGGACTGGGACAACCCGTCGGGGGTTTATACCAGTCCATTTCCCGAGCGGACCGCAGGGTTTCGGCCCTGCGCCCTCGGCCGACGTACACCTCGGCGCAAGATTCAGCCAACAACAGACATTCGCGGGTTTACAGTGAAACCAACCTACCGTTAACAGCGCCGTCCGAGCCTCCGACGACCGGGCTTAGTTTGTCACGATCCATGAGCGCCATGGGGTCGAGCACTTCCTCCAATTTTCACAATGATGAACGGTCATTTCACTATGACACAACCCGAGCTTATCTCACTCACCGTGCCTCTGTCTTATCAACGCAACCATCGGGCTCGATTCAACGCGCACACTCCTTCAAACAGAGTGGCGACAACTCCGAGACGCCGAAGGGACTAGGCATTACAAGCTCTGACGTGGAATCTGATAAAACGTACAAATATGAAGAATTCAACTCTGCGCATCCCCCTCACGACCCTCCGTCTCGCGCACAGTCACAGCTTCAGGTGCGAGATCTTCAGGACCAGATGAAGGGGCTTCACATCAAGATTTCCAGCCTGAAGGTCAAAGCTCAAGAGGACAATCTCCGGCGGCGAAGCCTGCAGAGCTTGAGGACGCCAAGTCCGTTCACCGAGGGGGACCAGTGGTATCCGAGCGCATTGGAACTCAAGAACAGCAATGGCAGCCTCCGGTCAAATACGGGACGTGGGCATACTGCTGGGGCTCAGGAGAACCATCACCACCAGGAACGTCAGGAACCTGAGACCGTAAGAAATGGATTTACATACGACCAGAGAAACTATCGCACGGAACAACCAGAAACAAAGCTTCAGCGAAAGCCGAGTGCTGCTTCTCATGCAGTCTCGCTCAATGAGAGCCTGTACGAGGATGCAGAGGAGGGGAGTTACGACATGGACGGCTCCTCGGGCTCGGACATTGACCGTGAAGCTTTGGAGGAGATACTTCGCGAGCCACTGGACGACGAGGACTTGGAAGAGTCTTTGGAGGCCTTTCCAGCTGTGCCTCAGCATATCGAAATGACACCGCACGAGGAGCGCGAGGACGCATTTGATTATGAGCACTTTATCCTTCATAGCGCCTTGGGTAATTACTCGCGGAGCAAGCTGCGTCGCACGAGCAATGTGTCGACCTCGTCTGTTGAAACCACACGACCCTACCATGAAGCCCCCGGGACTCGCCATTCGCGGTCTGACAGTACGGCCTCCTTGTCCACCATTGCAACCTTTGCCACAGCCATCGAGGGCGACGACGATATTGAGAGTGTCCTCTACTGGGACAAAAAGTTCAACGACGGTAGGTCTTCAGCTAGCCAATGTAGAAGTCAGCAGTCACTAACGTCAGCAGAACTGCGGAGCCGTCAGCCCTATACCGAGCCTGCACAACCGGCTGGCGATTCGGGATCAATGGGGACACCCCGTGCTTCACGAAAGCAGGCGAGCCATAACGGGCTCACGAATGGAACGGACGCCTCATCGAGAACCCTTTCTCCTGTTCAGCGGTCAGACTCGGCCACAAGCTCCATCGTCTCCTCGCTTGTGTCGACAGTGCGCGCTGCGTCAAGCCCTCACCCGAATACACAAAACGGGAGATCAGGTCTCAATAACGACGATACTCGGCTCTTGGAGCAACTGTTTCAAAGCCTGGGGAAGGTCTGCTTGGACCTACAGATGCTCACTGCCTCTGCCGAGCCTGATCCGAAGAGGGAGCGGGTTCTGCGACGGCGGTTGGATGCAGCTCGGAGGGTATTGGATGGCGAGCTTGATGCTTGATTAGCTGGAGGTAGATTCAGCGGCACCGAGGCATGTGGACGATGATTGATTATGTTGCTGGGTGGTCTGTCTCGACTTGCGTTTGCCATGGTTGAGGCGTTTTCATGATACCCTTGTCTTGAACTTGCGACTGTATATATTACTTGATTCTACTGCATAATCCTTAGCATCTCAACCGATGGTTTTGCGAATGAATCGTACTTGTATCAGATATATCAATTATCCTCAGCTCTAAACACCTTTATATAATGATTGTCATAATCATTGATGCTTCATAATATTGTTATCAATATCGAACCCCACCAAACACGTGGGCCGGACGCGTCTCAACGCGCCTAACCCCGCCAAACATCCATTTATACTTGATACCATCGATGCTGTGTGGTGGATGAGCAGGTTATTATCGAATCACAAATCACAATGGTCATATAAGGGGTAATTCCGGATCAGTCACCTGAGCTTATTGCCGAAGTCGAGCTCTGCGGGTCGACAAACCCCTATACAGAAGCGTACATATCATCAACAGTGAATGATATCAAGGCAAAGGGTCATATTCAGTCGCAAATAAACACACAACAACGCAGCTGCAATAACCACACCATCCACGTGAATATAGACCATGGACCTCGATCCCTCCCTCATCAAATCAACCAACTCAACAACAAGCCTCCGCAGCTTCAGCGCCAATACAAACGCAATGAATCCAGCGACAGCGCGCCTCTCGCGCCGCCTCCTCATCTTCCAGGAAGCCCGCAACCCAAGCAACATGAGCGAAATCGTCTACCTCCCCGTCAACAAACTGGGCCTGCCCATCTGCGGCCCGGGGCCGGAGTTGCCCTCTATCCTCGAACTCCCCTTGCGCATTCTGAGGGCGTTCACCGAGATTTTTAATCAGCCTAAGTATAAGGGGTGGTATGTTCCCCGCCGCTTCTCTTTTTCTCTACATATATGTACGACTATATGGATATGGATGACGGCTGATGCACGAACAGGGCGGTTCTGGCGGCTGGCCCGTACCATGATACCTCGGAAGAGGGCAAGTATTATGCTGTCGTGCTGGAGCAGACTCACAGTCACTCTCGGGAGGAGGCTGTGTCGTGATGATTTGTTGCCGGTGTATTGTATACCTTATTGTATGTCATGACGATGTGATGATTTGTATTCCCTTTGTACGTTGTAGTTGGATAGACTGAGACGTGTTACTCTGGTGTATGTGCAATGCATTATGCATCATTCACATCTATCTACAAACCACTCTCTGTCCTCACAACATTCGCCAAACGACTACATCCACAACAACACCGAACTAATTCCAGAAATGCAAATTGGAAATGGAATACCTCCTCCTCATCTTCCGCAAATGGCCCGAAACAGGAACATACTGGCTCATCAACAGACCGGGCCTTCCTGTGTCAAGAAACTCGCCTCTCATACATAATACCCCGGCCGATCCAATGCTCATCCCTGATCTCCTGGCGTCGCTTACTGAGACTTTGACGAGTGATTTGGCGGTTTACAGTGGGTAGTACGTCCGTCCCTCCATCCCTCCAGCTGTCCAGCTGTCTGAGCTAATGATAATAGTCAGTTCATGAATACCTGGTCTACGACAACCCCTGAGTCAAAACCAAAACCAACAGACTACTTTGTCCTCCTTGAACGTCACACTCCCACAAACAAGCCCAAGCCCCAAACTCAGAATCAAGACGAAGCAGAAGCAAAATCGCAAGTCGACGCCCGAAGCGAAAGCCCCAAACGCCGAGACACCATACGATGTCAAGAGACATGTCGCGCGTAAACGAGGTGCCCCAGAGGAGGAGATACGCGATCCTTTCTGCGTTTGCATGCAGAATGAATGATAATATCTCTTTTGACTTGTTCATACATACTATGATAGTTGAGTTCCTGATGGACTTGGCCAGATTCTCTGGGGTGCTGCTGCCGCTACTGCTATGCAGTATGGGATGTGTATGTTAGCTAGGTGCATACTGTTCGGGAAGCTTTCTAGTCGTTCATGAAAGGTTAGATGTTCTGTACAACTACTAAATGGACGGAGCCTGCATTGCTCTGATGCCTTTGTTTATCAATTTATAGAACGATGGCCGACTACATCCCCATCCTCGATGGTCTAACGGTCATGATTTCCGCTTGTCACTCCAACGAGAACGAGCGCGGGAGACCAGGGTTCGACTCCCTGTCGGGGAGATTTTTTGTCAGTCTTTTTTTTTTACTGACTGTTTGTCCATATACTTTCTTTTTTTTCTTTGCCATACTCGCATTCGATCTAGAGAGGGACCTCTGCATTATTATACTAAAGTGAAATAACTCGTACATAAATAAACATACATCCTTCTTGAAGGTAGGGCTACAAGAACAAGGTAAAAAAAGGACAGACAGATCGATTGAGCCGCCTCACCGTACTCAGTAACCTCTGTAATATCATAACCGATCGCAAACCGCTTCATCGAATTTTCATGATCACATCAATTTTGCTTCCACGCTTATGTGTAAACATTCGTCGGGGGAAGCAGCTTGGCACCATAGCGGAGATCGAGAGACCGAGAGTCGTTGGGATCGAAAACCGCGGCCTGGCGTTGCTCAAGGTAGAGAGCTGTCGAAGTTAGTTTTCACAACTATCAATAAACGAACAATCTCACTTACGGGTGATTTTGATCATGTCAAACCAGCGAGCTGCATTCTCGTCACTACCATCCATAGCCTTCAAAATGCCATCCGGTCCTGGAGCCGCCTTGGGGGGCAAGCTGCGCATCTTCAGCAACATGTGCAGAATGTCAGAGAAGCGATCGCCTTGGCTGGCATAGTATGGGGGGCGCTTGTCCAGAGGCCACTAAAATCGTGTTAGATACAACCAAGACTACGGGCATGGAATGACTTACCCGCTGTGCAAAGTTCTCGTCGTCCCAGGAACGGAATAGCCAGCAAGTCCGTTCGACACAGTTCAGAAGCAAAAGCGCAACCAGGAAGGTCTCGAACCAGCCGCTCTGCTGGCGCTGCAGTAATCTGCGTTCCAGGTCATTCATCACGGATTTGCTCAGTTGAGAGGCCCGCTTCTCGGTCGCGGCGCGCAACTGATTGCAAAGGAGCCCGTAGGATTCGGCGTTGGTAACCTCGTCAATAGGCATGCGGCCGTCATCTGACGGCTGTGCAAGTGAGTGCATCGAGGTGGGTGGCAGCGTTGGGTTGCAGTATGTCTTCCAGCGAAGTTCCGAGTCGACCAGGATGTGCGTTGCAACCCACAACTCCAAGACTCGTTCCAACAAGACATCCTACATACGTCAGACAAAGTCGCAATGCGTCAAACTGAACTGGTGCTTACCTTCTTCTGCTGACTCAATTCCGACGCGAGCAGCAGAGTGTGTTTAACGATCTCAGAAGTTTCCCGCGCGTAGAAAAAAGGCGCTGTCTTCTTGATGTACATTTCAATCTTTCCAGGAAGGTCATCGGCGTCGCTGTCGAGCAGGTAAAGTTCGTGCAGAGGTCCCTGGAACTGGGGGTCGTCTCCAAGACCTTGAAGCTGAGGGTCAAGCGTCGACATTGATGGCTTGTGACCTTGGAGTCCACTGAAAGTGATGTAGACCATACTTTCCTCGAAGTGGGTGACCTCGATGCGGCCGGCATAGTGCTCGAATTTGACTTGATTCTTTATACTGCTGACATCGTGATACGCGAGGGTAGCATGCAAGTTTGCGTTGTAAAGTTCGAATTCCTCTGCAATACGAGTGCGAATGCATGGATGCTTCCAAAGACGAGCGCTCTCAACACTGGCGCAGGTCGTGCAAGGGCTGTCACCGGAGCACGGTTTCTTCAGCATGCGACAGCGGATACAAGCTCCTCGTTTGCGCACTTCTTGCACCTCCCTGCGTCTCGCGGCGGAGAAGCGACCGCGCACCTTGGGCTTAGTCGGCTTGGTCGCGTTCCCGAATTCATTGACAAAACCCTTGGCCTGAGAGTTTGGATTCATGGCAATAGGACGAGGAAAGGAGGCCGCACGTTGAGTTGCAGCGGTAAGAGTAGGGTCGTGTTCCTGAAGGCTGTCGAAGAGAAGCTGTTCATGGCTCGAAAGCTGCTGGTTCCATGGGGATGAGCCAAGCTTGGGCAGGCCATCCGACATGAGAGCGTTCGGATCATGATCCATCGGGATACCCTGAGGAACCATCTCACTAGCCGATGCGGCGATCATAGACAGCTGCGATTGGCGAGCATTGGAGGTGGGATCGGGGGTCAACGAAGGCTCCACCAGCGGAGGGGACGCAGAGGAAGGATGGTCATTCATCGAAGTGCTTGGAAGGGAAGGAATGGCTGTCGCAGCCGAAAGCTGGGGGGTTCCTGTACAATAATCACGTTAGCGCGCGACACAAAAGAAGGGCACGATATCGAGAAAGTCAAAAGCGAAGACGGTTCATGAGTAAAGGAAAGAAAAGAATCTTACCAGGCGGTTTGATGTCCTCCTCAATATGTTCTGGTTGAGTCGGATGACCCTGGTAACCTTCGGCCTCGAGCGCCGGGTCAACAACCACAGTCTTACCACCAACAGTGACAGACTGAGCATACGCAGGTCCGCCCCGTTTGGTCTGGTCGGAGGCGCCGACTTGTCTCGAGGCTTCTGCCAGCACGTTTAGGCCATCAAAATTTTGTCTCGTCGTGTACGGCAGATCCACCGATTTGCCTTTGCCCTGGCCCGCCAGGTTGGGATCCTTGTTCTGATCGCCGTCGGCAAGGTCGGGGAGTTCGTGAAGTCGCAGAAGAACGCGTTGTCTGTCACGCAGCGGGATCGCTTGACACTTCTTCACCAAATGGTTGGTCAAGCTGTCGATGCGACCTTTGGGGAATTTCTCCCCGCAGGCTCTGCACGTGTGTTGATAGCGATTACTGGCGTCCTCGAGCTTTTGACCTCGAATAAAAAACTCGAGAATGAGTTGGTTTGGTTTGCGACCCATGGCGAGGGCGTATGGACAAGTGTGCGACAGTCAAGATGACCTCGACAGAAATAACGAATAATGGATCCTGTAGTAATAAACTTCAATCAAACAGCTAATTAGTATCAAGAGTCAATATCCATCACAAAGAATCACAGAAAACTGGGTGATAGCACAGGATCACTAACTGTTGTGACGCACAGGTGAGACTCTGACGAGGGGTGGAATCGATGGCAAAAAAAGATTCTCGCGACGTGAGCAACACAAGAGCCTGACCCGTCCTGTGGCAATGCCTACCAGCAGGAAGAGCCTATCTAGATGATATTATTGTAGAAACAAAGAGCAGAAGACTGCTTAGATTGAGATTGAGAGGATGGTAAGAAGAGGAGGAGGAGATCGAGGAGTGGGATGGAGCAGCAATAATTCGCGAGGTAGCGGCAAAATGGCTTCTTCACAGGCGGTCTGGGGCCTGCCGCCTGGAAGCTTCACTGTGGCTACTGGGATGTGCTTCACCGCATGCAAGGCGGTGATGATGTCGGTGATGAGGTCGGTCAGTGTCTTTTATTTATTATGATTATTGTTTCTCATGGACGTGGATGTTTTAGAACTTGGTCATGGAAAGCATCTATGATGGAGGAGACTCCATAGAGAAATCCTACCACTCGAGTCTCGTCCTGAGTCTAATTGTTGGCCACTTTTCCTTGTATGGGTTCTTCGCCTCTACTGTACCAGGTTCACAGTCCACAGTCCACATAACCCCATAATAACACGGAATCCAATATCCAACTCACTGCACATAGTAGAGATGCATATCCATCTAGAGACCGCCTTTTGTCCTTGAGCTGACAGGTCAATGCCAAACCCTGCATCAGACTCGACAGTAGTGCGTATTCGCTATTCCTTATCCTGTCGAGACCGTAAGAAAACAGCAGAGACTACCGGCTCGCTGGAAAGTTTTATGCAAGCTGAGATTCGCTCACCAGGGAAAGTTAGACTCCTTAAATCTTGAGAAGCAAGGGAAAAAAGCAAAGAGTTCCTATTCAAGAGCTACCTAGGCCTACGTGACATATCATGCTGTCATCCAGTCATCAGCGTCAGTCATCAGTCATCAACCATTAATCGCAATTCCGCCTGATACGTCAGCATATGCGATGCTCGGGAGGTCGCCATGGAACCCCCAGAATCTCAAAGATTCGTTTCTCATCCCGTCCCTCAAGCAGCTGGCCTTCGTTTAGTTTCCTTCGTTGCTCTCCACGTTGTACATCTGCATAAAGTCCTCGTTGGTTCAAGCGCATCCCCTTCTTGCTCGCCAGCAGTCTCATGCTCCGGTTGAATATGTCATTCCCCGTGAAATAAATCAGCGCGGCCCCTATTTCAGATCCAGGTACAAATAGAAGATCAATGCGGCGCCAGATTTTGCTGCCGGGCAACACAGACGCTCCATGCCATTTGGAGCCGTCGCCTCGGGAGGTGCTGGCGAGACTGGCCTGAAGAAATCCGTCATGAAAGAGTCGAGGAATCACATTGTCCATCATCAGCGCCCTGATATGTTCAATAGTAGCATCGCCTTTCGTAATTAGCAGATCGATGTCACCTGAGTCAGACGCCCCACGCCGGTAAGAACCACCGATGATGACCTGCATCCCAGGGTCCGCCTTCTGGACCGCCTTTCGGACGATTTCTCCGTGGCCTTCGACTTCACGGCGCGGAATTCGCTGGGCAAAATCGTGGTAGTGTTCCACTCCAATCCGCTGTGTTCTCGTCAATGAGGCTTTGGTCTTAAGATCATCCAGGGACCTGTAGCCCTGAGCAATCCATCGAGACGCCTGCGATATGCCGGCACCGTAGACCCCCAAGAATT